AAGTTTAGAAATACAACTTTTAATATAAATAGTTTTTCTAAATAATTTTATCCGTGCAATTGGAAATCAAGTTTAGTTGTTATACAATAGGTTTAATGTTTCAAGGTGGCGACATTGTGACGTCTTATGTATTCCAGTTACAACTGAATATCAGATGGGCCATAAGCTTTCTACTCGCACGATGTACAAAGTTAAAAAAACATTGACACTTAGATGTTACATGAGGGGGAATATATTATCAGTTTATTAAAAATGAAAAATGTATGCAGCAAAGCAGGTATGGATGCGTGTTGCTGCATTTACTTCTAATATGAAGAGATTTTGTATAAGAAAAAGGGTTGTATTGATCAATATTGGTCTGGTGTAGAAGATAAAAAAAAATTGAATTGAATGACTCGCATCTTAATATCATGTAAAAGCTTAACTATGGCTCTATCATTACCAATACCCATAACCTGACCTCATGGTGACTATTTAACAACAGTGCCTGGAAAGACATTAAAAAAATACAGTATTTTACGAACATTTCTTCATCAACAACTAATTATTTGTTCACACTACAGTTGAAAAAGGCATTTTTCTTTCTAGTGTTAACACTAAACTTAGTTTTACCATACTTCACTCGGTAATCATCAACAGTTTTCGCTCAGAATCAAGATAATATTGAACCAAACTCCAAAACCATTCTATTCATTTTGTCATCCACTGCAAACAAATTTTCAGTGTTCATAGGCAAAATAATGCAAATAGCACAAGAACCAATACGAAATGTTTCATAAAACAAAACGATTGTGTCCACTATTGGTAAGTTTTATGGCTCTGTATTGGTTTGTGTAGCAGTAAAAAATAACAACTGAAATTGGAATATTATACTTCCTTCATTCGATGCATTCAAGAATTTTTACTTTAAGTAATATAAAAAAGTTTACAATTTAATTTTTTTGTAAAAGAATGAATTTGTGTTGATAAATTTATTTATTTTTTATTGCTCATGTGGGTGGACAAACTCACAGCCAACTTGGTGTTAAGTGGTTACTGGAGTCCATAGATCTACAACGTAAATGCGCCACCCACCTTGAGATATAAGTTCTAAGGTCTCAGTATAGTTAAATATTTAATGGGTATCAATACTTGGATCCTGAATTCCATCCTTGAGCCCACAGTCCGGTTCCAACATCTACGGACCGTCCAGCTCCGTCGAGGTCCCCGCGCACACCTTCGGCGCGGCAACCTCGTAGGAGCTTGGGCCCCCAGCTCACAAAAAAGCGTTACTTGTTTATCAACTTTATTCTTTATATATTGTCCTTTATCTATTTCCTTATAATGATTGAATTAAATATGATAAATATGAGTCATAATTTCCTTAAGGTCACAGCATCTTTTATGATAGCTCTCATCTTAAACTTCATTGCAATGATTCCGTTTAAATCAAAAAACCTCATCCTTCTTTCTAAATTGCAGCTCCCAACACTACTTGGGCAGCCCTAGCGACTTGGTTATCCTGGACTATGACACTTTAGCAATGGTATTTATTTCTATCAAAATTTTACTGGACTATATTAGTCTAGCTAGAAGCTAGAAGAGTGATTTTAAAATCTTTATAAATTTTACAAAAGAGTATATGAAGCTGATATTAAGAACTGGTGAACAGTTTTAAAATGTATCCATTTAACAAAAAAATTCATTGCTTTCTTGACTTAATGTCATTAAATATTTCATCTCTATTTAAATATATATTGTCATCTTAGTTAGCAGATATGGACCCACAGCTCATCCGTTTGGATATTATCTGGAACCGCTGCGTTCATCGACAGTGCGTTTCCAAAGATCTTTTTTGCCACGTACCATCCGGCTTTGGAATGAACTTCCCTCCACGGTGTTTTCCGAGCGCTATGACGTCCTTCTTCAAACGAGGCTTGCGGAGAGTACTTTATGGTAGGCAGCGGCTTGGCTCTGCTCCTGGCATTGCTGACGTCCATGAGCGACGGTGACCACTTACCATCAGGTGGGCCGTATGCTCGTCTGCCTATAAAGGCAATAAAAAAAAAAACTATGGATGCTGTGAACACCTCAGTAAATTTTTGCTGCTCACACATTCTACATTAAAGAGCTCAAAGTAACAATTTTCTCATGATTAGCAGTACTAGAAACTGGAATATGAAACAAGAACACCTAGATGCCAAATGCAAAATATTTTGGTATATTAGTCACTAAGCTAATGGAGACAACAAATAAAATGTGGGCTCGATGGCTGTCTTACTAATAACACAGTGATTGTCAATTGTACTACGATCAGTATTTAAAATTATAGAAAAATTAGAATATTAGAATTATTAGAAAAATTATAAGAACATGGTAGAAGAAACTCAAAAGGGACAGATCACATAATCATATCGAGTTCTACAAAACAGATAAGATCTTCTGACCCCGAGTGTTATATTACCTAGTTTAATTATAGTTTCAACATCAAAATAGTGTTACAATGGTTATCTATTTCATGTCACATTTTAACCATTATCCTTATTGAAACATGTGACTATGTACCACTAATAATTTAGTAAATTTACTAATATTAATAAATAAAAGTCAAATAAAATATTATTTATTTGAAAAATGTTTGGTTGCAAGTTTTTTATGTATGTAGCAATGTTTTGCAATGCAATTTAAGAAGGCTTTATGTTAAACTGAAATCAGAGTTAATCTTTCAAAAATACTAGTTAGCTTGGCCGAGATTGCTTTCACACTCAGCTTCAGGAATATAAGCAAAACCTTTTCAACAAGATGCCACAACAAAATATTAATTCATATTTATTTTTGTACAGCATGGCATATAATGAAATTTTGTCTTTTAATTACCATACAGTTACTTGAAAAATAAACGAAATATCTATATTAAACAAAACAGTTTTATGCTATTATACTGAATATTGTGGGTCTATTTAGAGCTGTTAGTAATTTATAGTATTCAAAATTACTATACTATATAATACACTATACTAAGTTGAAATAAATGCCTTTATATTTGAATTCACAGACTAGGTATGCAGATGAAAGCCAAAAGGCAGAAGTCCAATGCGCTGGTAGGACCATATACACTACTCTCAACTCTTCAATCTAAGATACTATCATCGCAGTTGAGAATAGACAAGAGCTCGAGCGAAACTTATTCAGGGAGGCCAGACCCTCAGCATAGATTATCGATATAAAGAAGAGTTATATAAATTGATATGCATTGATGTCAATATCCTCTTGGGCATCATATTTGAAGTCTTAGTCCTTTTATTTTGGACAATAGCTATAGATGCTTCTCCATTTTAATTTCTAGGACTATATTTGATGGAAACTGGTAAGTCACTCATGCTCACACTGTTACCTGTTTTTCAGTAAGTAAAGCAGTGACAACAGCAAAGCCATAAGCACTGTATGTAACTGTTACATTTTAAGTGTTTAAATGGAGTTTTTAAGTAATAAATTGAGTGACCATGCAATTATGAGTGTAAATATTTTAGGTTAACAACCCACATAATTGGCAGCCTTCTTTTTTAGTAATATCATAGAACACTATATTCATAACCTATACACTTGGAGGAACCAGTGACTTTCTCTCTAAAATTTACAAATTTTATATCAAAATATAAATTAAGTTTGAAAAGAGACATTTAATTGAATACTAATTTTACCACAATTCCATGTCTCCCCGTGATCATGGTGCTAAAAACTTTGCAGAGATATGTGGCACTTAATACAAATAAATGAACGGCAAAAACTTGCGTAACAACATGAGAATAACTTGAGGAACCTTGTCATTCTCTATGGTTTTTTTAATGCGTTTATTGCATGGTTTATAATAAACTAAAGACTCAGCTAATGCTACATAGTCACAGGTGCTCCCGGACATCAGTAATGCCAAGGGCAACCTCTGTCTATTGCCAATCTACAATTTATTGAAGCTATCTATTCACCACATAGTTCAGTAGGATTTTTTTCTAAAGAGTAATGAATATATTCATAAGCTTTCGCATTAATATTATCAGACAGTTGTAGATAGTTGGAAACTTTAAATAAATTGGTAATCGCATTTAAAGTAGAATGTATGAATGAATAAAATATAAATCTTGAATAAAACGAGTATTTTTTTGTTATCATTTTGCATATTGTGTTATTGCCCTTAAGTTTATTACAATTTAAATCCAATATTGAATTTTCAAATGCTGTACATATTTTATGTTTCAGTTAAAATTTTAAAGTTCACTCTCATACAGACCTCTATGCTCTGGAAGTTTCTGTTCATCTATCACATATTCATTTTGGTTTCCGAGAACCTTACATGTTGACATTAAGATTTTCATACACCGGTTGTATTCAAGAATCAGAAAGCAATACACATGAGTTATAGGTTAGAGTTTAGAGACTATAGTTTAAGATTTTTTTTGGGATCTGCCAAAGATTTATAATCATAAATCAAGCCATGCGGTTTCAGCATGATACATTATTGAGTTTATAGTCGTTTTTTTATAAATGGGTATTATTTAATAGCCAGTTTTCTGTGAAGTATTAATGTATGTTTTAATGGTTTGAGCCTTGGGGCATGATGACTGCATTTGGCCATGGTGCACATGGACATGCTGCCATTTTAACCAAGATGCTTGTGCCTTCTAGCTACTATTTCAGTTCCTGTTTAGAACTGACAGAGTATTCATTCATTGTGGATATCAGACATGTAAAACGCTAATCACCTGTAGTGATAAGAGACAAAAAGATAACAATTATAGCCAATACCTTTACATATATGTTAAACACTGACCAAGCTATCAACAAGCCAGTCTCAATAACAAATTCGTGGTGATTTTATCATAATCTGTATCAATTCGATTTATGAGGAAATAACGTGTAATTTGAAATTCGCAAGAAGAAATAACACGAGCAAGTTTACCAGAAGACCACGTCTGCCATCAGCAAGCGCCAAATTGACCACTAGAACACTACAGCTACGTACTCACGTTGGGTTAAATATTGGTTTAACAAACAAATTCCTGAAGCGACTCCGACAAGATAGCATGGTGAGCCTTGGAAACCTAAGGGAGGTCACGCGTGGCACAATTCTATACTTTCACGTTGCAAAATTTTTGGCACTAGGGACGGAGGGACGGGACTGACAACGTCAGTGGCCCCTCCGAGCTCGTAACGGACGTATACAGTTGCGACAATGCTGCTCTATCACCGACATATCACTCATATTCACATTGTAGAAGCAACGATCACTCTCACACGACAGCGCGCACCACTGGGGACTTCCGCGGCGGTCTCCCCGCTGACCGAATCGCAACATTGAATCGGATGTCACGGGCTCGTGGACCGTTTTCGTATCTCGATCACTTTATGGAACATACGATGATCAAAACACGCAAACTTACATTGTAATTGTTATCCAACGCATTCAGAAGTCGATTACTTAGTTCATGAGCGTTATTACTCATTTATAAACCAAAATATTTAACTAAATACGACGAACGTGTCTTCGGCTGCGTCGTAATGGCGGACCGACGACTACGTATGCCCGTGCCAGGGCATTTTAGCCGAATAATTCAGCTGATATCTACTGAGGCGACGCACACTCGTGTTTTTCCGTTTCTTTTGACGGATTAACTTTAATTTCGCATAACTACGCACTAGATGGCGCTGTCCACCATTTCATATGTTGGTTTTAATTGACTAATTTATCTTGGCCAAACAGCTTCTGATGTTACCATTATTTAATCAATTTGATTTTAGTGTTTTCTTAGCNGCCGAATAATTCAGCTGATATCTACTGAGGCGACGCACACTCGTGTTTTTCCGTTTCTTTTGACGGATTAACTTTAATTTCGCATAACTACGCACTAGATGGCGCTGTCCACCATTTCATATGTTGGTTTTAATTGACTAATTTATCTTGGCCAAACAGCTTCTGATGTTACCATTATTTAATCAATTTGATTTTAGTGTTTTCTTAGCTACATCCGTATGAACAACAAAACTTTAATTTATGAATTTCAATGCATTGGTAATATTTTGCAGATTTAAACAGAAGCATGGTAATACCAATTTTATTTATTACAATGTTATCTCAAAAGATGGCGCTAAGCATTTTGTGTGTTTGAGAGAGAAGATATTTTTTACTCTCTCACATAGGAACAATTTTACCAGAGCAAAGTTATGTTATTTTCTGTGAAATATTTCTTAGTTTCTACCAATTTTTTTCCAATTTTACCCATGAACCAAATGTAAAAAACAGGAACAAAATGTTCTGTATAATTCTAAAGTTTTTATTTATTCCGTAACTATTATAACGTACGTCACGTGGTATTAAAAAAACACCACAAATCGCAATGTCAGAACTGGGCAATACTATTTTCGGTTCATAATGAGAGTCAATGAATAAACGGCAGGATTGCCAGTTTTAGAATACAGTATAGGTGTCTCAGGTGAATTAGATAAATAATGTAAATTCACAACAAAGCAAATCTAACTAATAGTTCTTCGTTCTGTAATACAGATAATGATAAATAACATAAATAAATCAGATATTACAAGAACAAATAATATAATTCCAATTCAATAAAATTTAACATATTATAAAAATGTTTCTTTTGTTATTATTAGCATCTATTGCTTCGGAGTAATCTAGTTTCACCATGTCTATCATCCCGAAAGTTATTTAGAGTAATCAAGATATTCTTTGCATATAAAAAGTAAGTACCAAAAAGAGATGGCGGCGCTCCTGCTCTCAGAGGTTATTCAATTCGCAGTTTTAGTTTCAGTTTTAGCTGCTATTAGTGGGCGTGGGCTGATTGAAAGTAATACAAAGCATGGTTTTTCTAAAATAAATGACAGCTTAATCTTCAGGACTAATGAGCAATTACTGCTAATCACAATATAATTACATCACGACAGGAGGGTTTCAGAAAGGTATCCTTCCGGGAAAAAAGGAGATTACTAAATCGATGAAAACCTATCCATATTTAAAATATATTATATTAAAGTAAAATGGACCGGTCGCACTGGAAATCTATTGGAGAGGCCTATGTTCAGCAGTGGACGACGATAGGCTGAAATGATGATGATGATGAAGTAAAATATCTACAACAGAACTTAAAGACAAAAAATTTAGATTCTAGAATGTCTTTTGAAATATATAGTTCGTTAGACGACCTCACGGCGCACTTGGAATTAAAAAGTTATTGGAGTCCTATACTGAAGCCCTGCCTATTAGAGGTTTGATCATAGCGCACATTCCCCAGCTCATTTTAAGCCGGCAAGTTAGTCTCAAATATAAGATTCAATAACTGTGACAAACTTGTGGCAGCTCCTTATGTTAGATATTCTATTAGTGCATTATCAATGGAATAGATTCTTCCTACGTTTCTACCATCAGTAAGGATTTTCGTGTCTTATCTATGGTTCTAGAGGAGCTATAATTTATAGAGCTGGCAGTACTGAGATTGAAAAAAAAAAGGCTATTAATATGATAAGTGTAATAATTATCTATGGTATGCTTTCGGCGACGGCATCTGTAAAAGTAAGCAAACATGAAAAAATGAAACAAAGCCGATGAACTTCTAGTTCTTCTTTAAGGCTGACCTAAGCAGCTCGCTGAAAAAAATCTTAGAATTTTTTCTCTACCTATCCCCAGGTAGCCTAAGGGGCTATTTCAGCTTCACGCGGTTACTTAGCTCATGGGTTCAACCTGAGAGAATTTACTAACAGTAGGCCTAGCAAGAGCACTGCTTTTCAGAATTTACCACCGGATCGGAAATGCTACCCACTGAGAAGATCCGGCGAGAAGTCGGTGGGCTCTGTCTATTAAGTTAGGTCACTCATAATCGTCGAGTTCGAGGAGGACGGTGATTGGTGTTTGAAGAGCCTAAAAGCACCCAGAGTGGGTTCGGGTGTTCCGACAAGGTATGTTTCGGGCGACGGCGGCTTAGTGTTACCCCGTCGCCTGGGTCGGATATTATCAGTAAATAACCACCATCTTACTGAGACTTTATTTCATCCCATCTATTTAAAGCCACAAATTGATCAGTTTCAAATTGTTAATTAAAAATACATACTCCTTACGTATAAATTAGATTCAAACTAGGCTCGAAGGTCTTGTATCCGTTGGCCGTAAATAAATGTTCTATTATCAACATTTCTAATATAATATTACGTGTATACCATACCCATGGAGTTAATAAGTACCTACAACCAAGGTGAATGAAGTTAGCCCCTCAAAAAAATTTTTTTTTCCTATTTTATACTTATTTTCTATTAATTCGTTTGTTCATCATTTGTTCATGATTGTTCACTGTTAATAATTGTTTGTTCTGCATTTATTTATTTAAAAATATATATTTAAAAATATACCTACAAGTTAGCCCCTCTAATGCAATTTTTTATATTTTTTCATCCTTAATGACCCGTAAATATTCATTTTCGATTGTTCTTATAATAATATAAAACACGTTTGTTCTCTTTCGAAATTACTCGTTTTTTGTTTAATTTACTATTTTTATTAGTTGAATAAATGTATGCAAAATATGTGTACTGCGCATGCGTCAACTATAATGCCTAAACTTTATATGCGGTTTTAATCGTGAAAAAAAAAAACAAATATAAATCCTGAAGGAGCAATTAATTGGTATACAGTTTAATTAAAAAAATTAAAAAATAAATAAATGAAATAATGTGCATTGGCGTTAAGTTAGACCAAATACATTTTTTCCATCCTCTTACCTATCGTATTAAAATGTTATTTTACTAATGTTAGGAATATAATTTCGACTGTGTAAAAAAGTTATTATAATGTATACCTATATTATCTCTTGAAAGATAAATAATGAACATATTTACTTATTTGTTTATATTACCTATGTGAACTCCCTATCTTTTTTATACCTTCATAACGATAAGTAGGAGGATGGAAAAAATGTATTTGGTCTAACTTAACGCCAATGCACATTATTTCATTTATTAATTTTTTAATTTTTTTAATTAAACTGTATACCAATTAATTGCTCCTTCAGGATTTATATTTGTTTTTTTTTCACGATTAAAACCGCGTAGAAAGTTTAGGCATTATAGTTGACGCATGCGCAGTACACATATTTTGCATACATTTATTCAACTAACAAAATTAGTAAATTAAACAAAAAACGAGTAATTTCGAAAGAGAACAAACGTGTTTTATATAAGAACAATCAAAAATGAATATTTACGAGTCATTAAGGATGAAAAAATATTAAAAATTGCATTAGAGGGGCTAACTTGTAGGTATATTTTTAAATATTTTTTTTAAATAAATAACTGCAGAACAAACAATTATTAACAGTGAACAATCATGAACAAATGATGAACAAACGAATTAATAGAAAATAAGTATAAAATAGGAAAAAATTTTTTTTTTGAGGGGCTAACTTCATTCACCTCTACAACCATACCACACCTTTCTATTGAGTTTAGAAAATACCTATGACTCGAACTGACACAAAATATCTATGGCAATAATGGCCACAAGCTGTTCCAATACCTATTCTTCCAACCATTATGTTATACATTTTGTTTGAAAAAAAAAAAAGAGTTTACAGTTAGTAATCTGCAACTGCAAAATGTGCTACTGGCCTTTTTTATTTCTCACTGTTATTTGAATTAAAATCAATTTATGGTTTAATCTCGTGTTATTTTTGTAACTTTAATATTCCCAACGTTTCGATTATTTTACACCTTTCGCGGTCAAGGCGATCCACCAATGGAAATAGAATGAATTTAAGCTAATATAGAAAACGAGACATGCAAACGCAAAACCAACTTGGTTTAATTAGCTACATTTCGTGAAAACCTAAGATATGAATATTATTGTTTAATAATTTGTCTGATTGGTAGCTCTGAAAAGAAAGAGAAGCTTGGTACTTTAACCTAGGCCCCAGTTAAGAAAGTGTTTTTTAGCTTCTCAATCTTCTTTGCTGCACTAAAACGTCAAAGTCTGTTTCTAATACAGTGAACATGTAATCCCGTGATACGGTCACAATCTGTTCGTTGTTGTGTTATATTTATTAAATGGTTATGTTGTGTTGTGATATTAATATTATGAGCAAATGACTTTTTTTCATAGTAAAACTCCTTACGCCTTAGTAAGGTATTTGAGATCATGGTCTACCCATGGAACCCTTAGATTTTACAATGTGAACGACGCTACCTTACTTCAATCTTTAACCGTAGAGTATAGCAGTTGTCCTATCTTCCAACTTGGAACATAAGATTTTTTAGAGGCAAACATAGACCGAATAACCTAAATTGACTAGACTCTCTTTCATGCTCCTATTAAGTATCCTTCAAATCACCTTTCAAAATAAGCTACTAAATTAAATTTTCACAGTACCACGTTTAAAATAATATAACTTCTCCTCAATCGAATTATACAACGAAAAGGCAGGAGAAAAGGGCTTTGCAGGCAGTTCATTGATAAGTACAAAGTATTGAACGACAGCTGAGAACGTGGTGAAGTAAGAGTATTGAAATCAAAGTACAGAGTAGCCAAAAATAGGTTTGTTATAAAATGATATTTGGTATCGATACGTTTTGCCTATCCCTACTTTTCGGTTTGTAGTGTCGGCAGTGTTTGTGTGACGGATGCCAGTTTCTTTAGTCTGTGGACTTGGAATGTGGACGGAGTGTCGCAAATAACATGGCATAGCATAAAATAAATAATATTTGCATTTGCTGTGCGAAATACATTATTATCTAAATGTGTCGTTACGTTTCGTTAAATATAAAAGGTGTCATGTGAAAAGACTGCGACTTTTAATTCTTTGCGCAGGGTAATAAATGGGGGTAGCTTTTGTGATTTTTAATGTATTGTGGTGAGTGGAGATGGATCGGCGTTGTTCCCAGTCCGTTCGGACGCTGGTTTTCGACGATTCGGACTCCGACGCGTCTAAAAGCGGGCAGAGGAAGGATTTGGCTTCAACAGGAGCTCCTTCGTCGTTGAATCAGAGCGCTGAAGGTGCGTGAAATGTCGATATTTTGTTATTGTGTAGGTACACAGTGTTTGTTTTCAAGGTTTGACCGCGGTCAATCGAATCTGATTGAATGAATGTACGGCGCTAGTCGTTGCGCGTGAGTTATTAAACGAAATGTGGAGAAAAGCTATTCAAAATGAATTGAAAGAGCACCTCAGTTGATTTAAACATGAATTTCATACTTTCTGAAATAGATTCAGATTAGTTTCGATGATAAAAATAAACAAAACCTTAACGATTACATTACTTAATGCTTGTTTCTCCAATGTGCTTTTGTAATTACTTTCTGATATTTTTATCTGACAGGTAAAGAACAAACAAACAAACATGTGTATGCATAATAATATAATTCAAGATATACATATGCAGTGGAACGGGACCAAGTTTCACTTCTTAGTTTTATTTTCATGAACCCATCAATTTCCCACCACTATCAGCTGTTTTCATCTAAAATATATCTATTGTTTCTTAAAGTACACATTAAGTAGTATTAAAAAACAAAGCTATTTCATAATTAGACCCACTTTTACAGTTTTTTATTTGGATTTCTCCTGTTCATTATTTTTGATGCTTAAAATACTTTGTACAGTGAAGTATGTGGTAGCAGACAACTAAGGTGTAATTCATACAGGTCTAAATATTGTACTAACTTCCATCTTATTAATGTGAAAGTGTTTGTTGTTTGCTAATTCTTCTTTCTCATTGAAAAGCAACAGATTGAAATGATTTTTTTAAAGTGATAGTTTCACTTCAGAACAGTGACATAGGCTATCTTTTATCCTAAAAAAAAATCTCATTCGCATGGGAAACAATAGGAAAATTATTAAATTTTCTAGAATCAGACAGGTGAAGCTACAAATAATAGCTAGTTTTCTATATATGTATATGGATCATAGATATTTTTAGGTCTTAAAGTAATAAGCATGACATTGGGTTATAAAAGTACTTTTAATAATGTGTTATTTTAATTAAACACTGGTGACCCGTCCTTGCTTTTCTTCAGAAACATTAAATTTTATTATTGATAGCGACCCGCCCTCGCTTCGCTTCGGAAACATTAAAAAACACATGAAACAAAAAAAAAAAAAAAATTAAAAAAGTAGCCTATGTTCATCAGGGACAATGTCGGCTTCTAATGGAAAAAGAATTTTTCAAATCGGTCCAGTAGTTTCGGAGCCTATTCGAAACAAACAAACAAACAAATCTTTCCTCTTTATAATATTAGTATAGATAGCTGAGTCCTGCAATGCTACCTGCGGTTATTGTCATACCGCAGGTGTCGCCGCGGGGCGAAGCTAGTCTAAAAAAGTAGCCTAAGTTACTCCTTATATCATCAGCTACCTATCAGTGAAAGTCTCGTCAAAATCGGTCTAGCTGTTCCAGAGATTAGCTGGAACAAACAAACAGAAAGGCAGACAAAAAAAAAAAAAAAATTTGGTATATGTACTGTGGTATACATATTTACGCATTTAGTAAAAAGTGATTATTTTATTATTACAAACAGATACTCCAATTTAGTTTTTTTTTATAGATGATTTGAATAAAATGGAGAAAATAAAATTTTGTTATTGTTAGTCTGATAACCATTTACTGGTATTCGCAGAGTTGTGTTGGTAGGTCACACTAGTGTAAAATAAAAATGTAAACCACAATTATGTTATTCTCACACCTGAACAATAGCAATGCGCTCTGTGGTATGGTTCTACATGCTCTGATAAATTCTAATCTAGAGTAAGTGTGAGAAAATCTAAGTTGCCATCATTTTATAATTGATGTATAAATATACACTGTACAACACATTGTCAATTAATTTGAGTAATATGTTCTCGAGATTTGATATTCTAACTGGTAGCTGGGATGACTGAATATCATTAGTCCATAAGTGGTGATACACATTCTTGATGAGATTTACCAGATCTATTAGTGGCTTAGTGTTGTAAGTAACGGTTAGAACCTTTAAACTGCTATTTTTTGCCACAAAGCAGGCATCCCTTTTGGTTTGAAAGGTGTTACAGCTTGTCGTAGAGTAAAATTGAGATCTCAAGTCTGTAGTTAAATGAAAATATTTATGTTGTCATGTCTATACAATCTCGTAACCATTTCATATCAAGTAGGCTAAGCTGAAGGTAAGAAAGGAAGCTAAGTGTGGAAGGAACACACTTATGTGTGTCAGCTTTAAAAAAAAACAGTTTTTACCGGCTTAACTTATGAATAAATCAAAACATTTACTTAATTGTGACAAAGAGATCGTACAATAAGAATATTTAATAAATAAAGAGCTTGTCCTGGATCACCGTGGGAAAATCAGAAATTATTGTAACCATACTCGGTTGTGTTTACTAACGTTGTTAATGACATGTCGATTGTTGTAATAGTCACTAACTCACTTATATCTTTTTTGTTTGATAAAATAGAAATAAACTAGTACATACAACAGAACTGATCATGTTGATCAAACAAGCTATGAATATTACATACATACAATGCATCAGCATTTATGTAGAATTTTAAATGTGTGCATACAAAATTATAAAACTCCTTACTTAATTATTATGGATAAACATAATTTCAGAATAACCTTTATTAATGGTGAGTTGTGCTGTATTCATGAAAATGTATGTATTAAGTGATTGAGGAGAAATGAACACTGTTCAAGTTGTGGAAATGCATGTTGACATGTAACTTACCCATTCAAGATGATAGCAATCCTCCAAGGCTGAGCCCCTTGATTTCGATCACTACTGAAAATGAAGCAAGAATAGCCCCTCGAGGCTACTAGCAGCTAGGTGAGCCTCTTGTGAGTCCGCACGGGTAGGTACCACCACCCTGCCTATTTCTGCCGTGAAGCAGTAGTGCGTTTCGGTTTGAAGGGTGGGGCAGCCGTCGTAACTATACTGAGACCTTAGAACTTATATCTCGAGGTGGGTGGCGCATTTACGTCGTTGATGTCTATGGGCTCCAGTTACCACTTAACAGCAGGTGGGCTGTGAGCTCGTCCACAAACCTAAGCAAAAAAAAAAAACGGTTCAAGCCTGGGGAGATATGAAACACATGTCACAACGTTTATTATTTTGCTGCAATGCTGTTATGGGCTTCGAAGGGCGTGGCAGCCATTACACTAGCTAGTCGAGACTTTGAGATTTAGTCTGAAAGATTGTGGTGTTCACTTTGTGATGTCTATGGCCCTGGTAACCACTACATACCATGTAAGCTGCGAGATAATCTGCCATACTAATTTTTTTATTTTATTTTTATTGCTTAGTTGGGTGGACGAGCTCACAGCCCACCTGGTGTTAAGTGGTTACTAGAGCCCATGGACATCTACAATGTAAATGCGCCACCCACCTTGAGATATAAGTTCTAAGATCTCAGTATAGTTACAACGGCTGCCCCACCCTTCAAACCGAAACGCATTACTGCTTCACGGCAGAAATAGGCAGGGCGGTGGTACCTACCCGCGCGGACTCACAAGAGGTCCTACCACCAGTTATGTTCCTTAAAGCACAGGATTGGCAGCGGTATTCGTCAGTTTTGTTGTTGTTGTTATGTTTTCGGATGACAGGATAGCATTTATGGAATCAGTTAGTAGTCCGGTTTAAGCCGTGAAAAAATCATGCTCAGTGTAGTTCGGTAAACATTTAAAATGAATTTATCGTTGAGAAGGAAAGAATTGATGTGGGAAGTTGAAATAATTGTTTTTTTAATTAAAATTTTAATAATCTTAAATAATTATATTAAATGTTAATAAAATGTGGCCGTGCCTATTTTTTCATGTTGCGTGTCTTTCGCCGTGCTTAATCTAGGTCATTAGAAAAAAGTTTAATGTAATTAAATTAACAAAAAGCATGTACAGAAAGTAATTAAATAGTGTGTGAACTAGGAAGTATAACAAGGAAGTAATTTGAAAGCGTTAGTGTCAGCAAATTCATGGAAAATACAGAATATTTTTTGGGCTCGCCCACTGACTGACACACATTCATTTATTTTGGTGTAGTTAATAACAAAACCGATTTCCGTCTCACTACAGCTCTTCATAGTAAGCAATTTATCGCAATTGCAAAAACTGCTATCTCTACGTATAAGGCAAAATGGTTTTGCAATTATTCACTTTTTTCAAATTTAGAACGAGTCCGAAATATTAAAGTCGTTAAAGAAACTTCTCCGAATTCGAAAGTTTAAAACTAAAATTTCGTGTGTTGCAACATCGGAAAAAAATTCCCACTCACACGGAAAATTGCTTTTTCTCCTAAATTTAACTAGCATTCAACAGCTAAACTAAGTTTGCGGTCCTAAGATTTATGTAAGACTAAACTATATGTCCATGTGGCGGGTAGCCATCATACAACGTAAGATATTTGACAGATGCCTGAATCTCGCTTACGACATTTTCAAGATAAGGTTGCATGTATACAAGTTCCGAACAACAACATTCGGACCGTCGGTCTACCGAGCAAATATCACCCGCTCGGTGGAAGATTCTTTCTTCCCTTTCGTCGTTTAAGCCTCCTACATCCATTAAGGGTGGTATCTTTTTATCTTTTTTTATTGCATAGATAGGTGGACAAACTTTTTTATGATTAGTTTTTTTGTTTTAAAATAGAGTTACGAATCCCTGCGGGTACATAGATAAATTATGCCATATTCGGAATAATTGTTATAGGCAATTGTAGCAAAAAAAAATTCACTTCACACTGAAATAACTTACTCAATAATGTCTATTTTGCGCACGATTTATGTTTCATTTAATTACCCGATTATTATCTACTATTGCTACGATAATTAAACAAAGTAATTGACCTTGGCTTGCAATGTGTGCACACATTGGATACACCACAAAATATATTATATACCTAGTTCATAAATATTTTAAACTAGCGACCCGCCCTCGCTTCGCTTCGGAAACATTAAATTTTATTATTGAAAGGCGAGTCCCGCCATGTTGCGCGCGGTACGACAATAAATTTTTTTCTATGTACCGTATATA